CAGCTTCAGCAACTTGATGAGGCCCTAAGCAACACAGCCAGACCCTGTCTCAAAATAAAAAATAAAACGGGGATGTGGCTCAGTGGTTAGGTGTCCCTGGGTTCAATCCTCAGTACCAAAATAAATAAATATAAAAAGGATTAGAGATGTAACTCAGTGGTAAAGTGCCCAGAGTTCAATCCCTGGTACCAAATAAAGAATACCCAATATTTGTTAATTCTCTTTGTATCCAGAATATTCAAGAAGTCATTGCCTCCTACAGGTCAGATGATAATAGGAGAGACATGTGAAAACAGCCAATCTCTAAGGTGCTCAGAGCACCTGCAACCTTATCCAATCATTTGCCTGTTGCCTACGTAATCTTGAGAAAGTCCACTAAGATAGGCAACACCTTGAAGGAACCCTTAACTCGGACCCCCTAATTCTGGAAACTTTGCAGCTGTCACTCCTAGCTCCTTTTCAACACTAGGGGTATGGTAAGGAGAGCCAGCCTGAGGAACTCACTCCTTTGTACAGTTGCCAGATTTAGGGTTTGTCTTTCTTGAAGCCCCCAGTCCTACCCCCTCCTCTTAGCACACGTTCTTGTCAATCAACAGAAGAAACTTGTGATTCAGCAGGGCAAGAAAAGAGTAGAGACTAAAGCACTAAAGCGGAGGGATGAATCTCACCCCAACCCCAGGACTTGGTCAGGGCAAGCAGAACTCGAGTGTGAAAAAGGCAAATGCTACGTTGCCAACAGCATCAAGGAAGCACACAGAAGCAGCTGGGTACAGGAGGGACAGTAGGATGGGCTAAGGACAGCAAAGCAGCCAGCTCCAAGAGGCTGCTTGAGGATCTGCATGTGCTCTACATACTGGTCTTGAGCCAGGTAAGTAGTCAGCACTAAGGAGGCCCAAGGTCATAGGAAGGGACCCCTCTTCCACTAGGCATCCTCTTCCTTCAAACATCTAACAGAGCTGGGGCATTACTCTCCTGCATGGCTGAAGACAATACCAAATCATGGCACAAGAGTCCTTATGCTATACCAAAAATGTATAAAGATAGCTCCCAAGAATTCACAAAATACAATGTGCAAGCATGAATTGGAAGAAGCAGAAGAGAAACAGAAGGGACAGAAAATGGAAACATTAGTAAGCCTAGTGGAAAAATAAATGACACTATATATTTAAGTCCCTCACATGTATGTAATTTGATCATTTGCCCAATGCCCAACGTTCTTAAAAATAAGAACAAAGATTTCAAGGAAAAGAAGGGAAGGGGAGGAGGCATGGGGGTAGGAAAAATGTGGAATGAGATAACATCATTACCCTAGGTACATGTATCATTGCACATGTAGTGCCACTCTACATTGTATACAACCAGAAAAATGAAAAGTTGTACTCCATTTGTTTTCAATGAATCAAAATGCATTCTGCTGTCATGTATAACTAACTAGAACAAATTTTAAAAATTAAAAAAAAAAAACAAAGATTTCCTAAGATGGACAGGTGTGATGGCACGCTCCTGTAAATCCAACTGCTTGGGAGGCAGAGGCAGGAGGACTGCAAGTTTGAGGCCAGCTTAGGCAATTTAGCAAGATCCTATCTCAAAATAAAATTTAAAAGGTTAGGGAAGTAGCTCAGTATTACAGCATTGAGCCAACATGCATGGAGCCATGGGTTCGATGCCCAGTATGAAAAAAAAAAAAAAAAAAGAATTATTGTAAAGAGGACATGTAACACCCCTTGACAACATTCTCAAGAGATACAACACATTTCCCCTGAAGCTTATCCCTAATAGAGACCCTAAAGTAGGCTTGGTAGGACACCAGGAACAAGAATTCCAGCCCCTCTCCCAAAGAAACACACCAAAGAGGGTCAAGCGAACGCTCAGGGACAATCTGAATTGCCACTTAAACCAATTCATATATTGTGTGTAGGAGAAAAAAACCGACACAAGCCATTTGAGGGACAGTATTTACTAAAATGGAGTAATAATAGCCATAAGTTAGAAACAATTCAAATGCCCATCACTAGATGAATGGATAAGCAAACTGTGGAACATTCATACAATGGAATAGTACTTGGCAATAAAAATGAACAAAAAAAACGATGCTGAGCCCAAAGTGCATGCCTGGAATCCCAACAATTCTAGAGGATGAGGCAGGAGGACAGGAAGTTCAAGGACAGACTCAAAAACTTAGCAAGACCCTGTCTCAAAACAAAGTAAAAGAGGTTGTTCAGTGGCAGAGCACTTGCCTAGCATGTGTGAGGCCCTGGGTTCAATCCCCAGTACCAAAAAAAAAAAAAAAAAAAATTGCCGGACGCAGTGGCACACACATGTAATCCCTGAAACTCAGGACTGTCTCAAAATAAAAAATAGAAAGTGCTAGGGATGTGGTTCAGTAGGTAAGGGGAGGGGGGAATGTGCCAGAAACAGCTCCGTGCTAGAGCACCCCTGGGTTCAATAGTACTGCACAAAAAACTGCTGATTATACACAAAACCACAAATGAATCTCAGAGACATTATGTTGGGTAAAAGAAAACAAACAAAAAGCATGGTTTATATAAAGTTTTAAAATAGACAAAATTAATACATGTTGACAGAAATTATAATCATCTTGACATCCCACTATACCTACCAGAATGCCTGAAGTCACTGTCTTGATCTGAGGATACCAACCCACTAGAACCCTCCTACATTGCAGGTGTAGGCATTAAACCGGGGACGGCGCTAAAGCCAGTCACGTGGCTTCTGTACCGCACAGCACGAGTGTCCGCCCCGGAGGGAGCCGGGTGAAGTTGCGCAGGACCCCCCCTCCCCGTTCGTGGCTAATCACTTCAAAGTAGGAAATGTTTAAAAGAAAAGGCATTTGCGAGACAGTGGCAGGAAGAAGGAAGAGGGCTTCTCGGGCTTTGATGGGACTCTCGCTACAGTCGTGTGTGGGGCCGGTTTGTGAAAATTCGTAAGCGTCCAACTCGGAACGCGGTACACAGTTCACCCACAGGGACGCTCTTAAACAGGTGCTGGGGCTCGGGGGTAGGGCGTCCTGAGCGTGCGCCAGGCCCTGGGTCCAATCCCCAGCACACCAAAAAGAAAAAAAAATGGGGTGCTGCTCAAGTTGCACTGGTCACGTCACTCTCACCCCAGCTCCCCTGCCCGAAGGCCTAAAACCCGTGCTTCCCGGAGCAACACGGTGGCCCGCGTCCTCTCCGCGTCGGCCGCCGCCCCGCCCGCGCTCCAGGAAAGGGGAGGCGCCCCGACGGCTACGTTCGGACTCTCGCCACACGCCGAGGTAACTGCGCCCGATACTCCGGACGAACTAGGTGTCTTATGAAAACCCGTGTCACCTGTTTCTTGACTGTTTTACGGTGACTTGACATTCTGTCACTCGTGAGAAAGCGCGCCCGCTGCCCGGAAACACCCTTGGGCGCAAGAAGCTGGGATACGGCGCGCTCGGACACTCCCGGGCTTCCACGGGCCGGACTTGCGTGAGAGCACCAGCGCCGGGCGCGGGGGCGGGGCCAGAAGAGCGTGCTGGAAGGAACGCGCTCAGGAAACCCCTCTCCGGCGTCAAAGGCGTGCGCGTTGGCGGGATCGGGGAGGAGCTATTCCGGGAAAGGGCGGGGCCTCAGCCGCGCCCTCGACTTCCGTTGCCTGTTGGGACGCGCGGCGACTGGTCGGGGAGGAATTCCATTGACCCCGCCCCAAGCCCCGCCTCCTGTCTATGGAGCGGCCCACAGGGACCGGAAGGAGGCGGAGCCTCCGTCCTGGCCCGGTCCGGGCATCCTGGGCCCACAGCGCCCTCTGTTGGTCCTCTCAGGAGCTGCGTGGACCCATTGGATCTGCTGCCTCACACCTGGCTGGAAAAGGTGTCTCCACCCGCCTTAGGAAGGGGCGTGCCCGCCCAGGTCCCAGCTAAGCCCCATCCCACAGGGGCGCTCCTACTTCATATAAACTAGGCTGAATGCAGTCAAAGAGTGCAGGAAGCCAGGCTCAAAAGCCCACATACTGTATATTTCTCTTTATATGTCATTTTTGGAAAAGACAAAACTGTACCAGTAGAGAATAGATCAGAGGGGGTGCCCCGCTGTGTTGGTCACAGAGGGGCCTGGGGGAACCCTGGGGATGAGCGACCAATCCACATCTTGATGACGGTCACCCAACTGAACGCCACTTGTCAGAACTCGCAAAACAAAAACCTAAAATGTTAATTTTACCGAATGTAATTATACTTTTAATTTTTTTTTTAACTAAAACGAAGCTGGGAGCAGTAGCACACACCTATAATCCCAGCTCTCTGGGAGGCTGAGGCAGGACAGCAAGTGGGAGGCCAGCCTGAGCAATTTAGGAGACCTTGTCTCAAAACACAAATAAACAAGGCTACAGATGTATCTTTATGTATCTTATGGTAATGCCCCTGCCTTTAAGCCTCAGCACCACAAAACTAAAAATCTTGAGACTGGTGCTGCAGGGGCCAGGAGGAGAGGGAATGGGAAGTGACCGCTTAACAGATAATGGATTACTTCTGGAGTTTTGGAGTTTGGGAACTTAGTAGGTTGTGTAACATCGTCAATATATAAAGCCCTTGGGATATCATTACCTCTAATTTTCAAAAAGGAAACAGACTTAAAGGAGGTGGCTTGTCTGAGAAGAGTATTGGCAGACCAAGGCTAGGATCTGGGCACACACTCACCACACCATAAGAGCATGTTCCATTCCCTTCTACAGATGAGGAGACTGAGGCTCAATGGAATTACACAAGCCTAGGAACCCTGAACACCCGTGTTCTTCTCCAGAAGTTAGGAAACTGTGGCTCACTTGCTCTTTCCCCTTACCCACAACACCACCCTCCATCTTTGCAGAATACCCAGGGAATATGGGGATCCCAAAATCTCATCACAACCCACACACAATGTGGGTATTATGTTCACAGTCCCCTCTGGAGTTGGGGGTCCTACTACTGGTCAGGTAGCCTGGTCTAGGTCCTCAAGACAGTGTACCCCAAGAGACACAGAATCTAAAAAACAAAGTACAAACTTTATTTGTTTCTTTACAAAGGCACAGTGGCCTCTTGGTTTTTCCCCCACTTTTTAACAAAATATAATAGCTTCTCCTTGGACACAAAGACCTCAAAATTGTTTTTAAAAAAAACAAAAATAAAAACAAAACCTAAACCAAAATAAAACCAACAACAAACAAAACAAAGAGAGAGAGACAAAGACATTCTGGGGTTGAGGATGGGACCTGGAGGGAGAGGTGGGCTGGGGGATGGAGAGTCCTGGTGCTGAGATGGGGAGGGGGAAGGGAGAAGGGCAGCAGCAAACCCCAACCAAGAAGCAACACAGACCCCCGGGCCCCCAGAAAGCCCGACCCAGTCTGACCCCCAACCCATGTAAGTGCTTAAGGAAGAAATATGAAAATCAAACAGAGGGAAGGATTGAGACTGACAGGCTCTGGGGAGGGAGGAAATACCTTGGGGTTTCGTTTGATTTTCCCTGTTCTTAAAAACACGTTCAAATGAAAAAATGTTTTTTGGCGGAGAGAGGCCAGGCACCTCAGTGTCAGCGTCCCCCAGCCCCCAGGGCCGAGGCCCAACCCTGGGGTCCCAATGCTCCCACACGCTCTGCACCACCCCAGCCCTGGGACCCTGGCTTGGGTGGCGTCATTCAAAGGTTGATTTACAGTATTGAAAAAAGAGGTCATAAAAGAGACCCAAATGACATCATAATTTTGTAAAAATTTCTCACTCATTCACCCACATTTCTCCCTGTTGCTGCCCCGGCCCCCTCCAGCCCCCACAAGGGAGAGGAGGGCTGGGGGTGGTCAGGGAAGCTCCCCATCCCCTAACGGCTCCTCCCGGCTCTGGTCCATGGCATCACTGTCTGAGGCCTCCGAATCGGAGGCTGTGTCGGAGGTATGGGCCTCCGGGCAGCTGCGGACTGGCTTCACAATGACTGCTCGCCGCTGCTCCTCCTCCAGCTCCTGCTTCTCCTGGGTGCCCTCGATGTGCTGGATTGCCTGTGCAGAAACAGGCCACTGAAGAAGCTCTGCTGGAGATGCCAGCCAGCCAGGAGACCAGGGCAGACCTCAGCCAGCCATGACCTCCCCCAAAACACATACCCCAGAACTGTCCAGAAATAAACCTGGCAGAGAGGAGTGCTGCCAGAGTCCAGGAGGAACAAACTAGAAACCCCCACCTCCGTTAAGTTGAAGAACCCCTTCCCAGAACCCACAATCCCAGTGCTGCCCAGAAATGAGCATCTCTCACTTATTTATGCATTCTAAAATCTGCCTGCTAGCTCATTAAAGGCCTTTGTTACCATTGCATTATTCAGTGTGCTGGGTTTATGGGCAACCAAAGGTCTGGGGGGACAGAAGGGGTTTTTCCTGTTTGGGCTTTTTTAGATTATTTCATTATTAATTAACTAATTTCCTTATGCTGCCCACAGACTTATAAAAGGTGTGAGGACAACCCACCCAGCCACTGCCACCATCTCTATCCCAAGTTCTGGGAAATGGAAGTGAGAGAAAGTTCTGGATCAACTCAAAAACTGCAGGAGCTTGGTAACCAGGAGGCTCTGAGCCCAAAGGAGCCTCTCTGCGAAACCCACGACAAGGAAAAGAACACAGTTCTTTTGCCAGGCCACTCTCCAGTTCTCTGTCCCCGGAGACACAGGGAGCAGACCTCCCCAGGGGCATCCAGACTTCACCCAACCCAAGCCCCTCTGGCTCCTCTTCCATTTCTTCTAACTCCCCTAAAAGTCTCTTCCCAGAGGTCCCCCCACAAGCTGCCCCTTCCCCAAGCCCAGGTACCTGCACAATGGTGTCCAGATTTTGCCGGGAAGTGGACACAGAGTTGATGACTGAGGAGGGGCCCATGGTGACAACATTGATGTGGTGGGAGTGGGGGGGGGCTGGTGCTGGCACAATCACTGTGGGGTGGTGCGTAGGGGCCGGAGGGGGCAAGAGCTGCAAAACAGAAGCCCTCAGTCTCTCCAAAGGCCCTTCCAGCCCATCACCCTCCCTGACTCATGGGGGGTCCTGTAGGTTGGGTCTTATTTGCCCCTCCCAAAGATCTGTGTGGTCCCTGGCGTGGCACTACGGCAAGGTGGTGTGGGCTCTAGTGGGGGTCTATAAGTTACTAGGTGGGGGGGATGCCCTTGAAGAAGATAGTGGAACCCCCAGGGCAGTTTTCAGGGGGCCCCTCCCAGAGCCTCCTGCTCACCTGGGTCCGCAGGTGCTGCTGTTCCCGCTCCAACTTCTCCTGGTGCAGCAGCCGCACCTGCTCCTGCTGCTGCTGCAGCTGCACCTGCTGGGCGATCACCTTGAGCTTTTCCGGGTACATGTGGGCCTCAAGCGAACGCACCTGCAGGTGGAGCCCACAGCAGTCAAGAGCAGGCCAAACCAGCAGCAAAGCAAGCCATTCACTAAACCCTCAAGCCCAAGCACAGAGCATGCCCCAACCCAAAATCCTGGCCCTCCTCAGCGTGAAGATCAAAGTCCTCACCAGAGCCCCACCAGGCCTCTTCCCCCTCCAACCCTTGGGCCTTCCCTCCACCTGGAGCACCCTTCTCCTGTCTGTGTCTGATTAGCTGGTTTCCATGTAGAACCGGGGAGTACCCCTGGAGAAGTAGGTCAATCCCCTCCTGATGGCACAGCTCTTCTCTCTTTTTTTTTTTTTCCCAGGCTTTTTCTTTTTTAGTTTTGGCGCTGGGTCTGAACCCAGAGCTTTATATGCTAAACACATCTGCTGTCACTGATCTATACCCCAGCCCTCGGTTCCAGACTATGACTGATTCCCCTCGCCCCCACGCAAAAGGTGGCCCTGGAGGGTAGGGCCCTATCTGGCTGTTCTCCATTCCTAAGACTGGCACAAAGCAGGTGCGCCCGTAAATACCTGCTAAACGGAAGGCGCCAGGGCAGAAGAGACCACAGAATCCATCCTCCGCGCCCGCGGCACCGCGCCCGGCCGGCAGAGGGCACTGCCTCACCTGCTCCTCCAGCATCATGCGCACCGAGCGCTCCTTGTCCAGCTGCTGCCGCAGCTCAATCATCTCCCGCCGCAGGTCCTCCGCCTTCTCATCCTCCCAGATGTCCGGGGAGCCAATGCCCTCGTCCTTGTCCTCTGCCCGCCGCCGCTTCGGAGATGAGCCACTCAGCTCCTAGGGACCCCAAGGGGTTGGTGAGTGTGTTGACACCCCGATACCACGAACACCACCATGGAGATGGGCTCCACTGCAAACCCCACGGAGCTGCCCAACAGAGATGGACCCACCTAGGGAGCCCATTTTGCAAATCCAACAACTGGCCAAATGCCTTCCAGAGTCCATTCCACCACACAAAAACGGGAAACTGAGGCCCTGACAGGAAGGCAAGTGTGTGAAGTAGGCAGGTTGGTGGACAAGATGGGACCTGCTGCTGCATCTGTATCCCAGGCCAGCGGCTGGGTCCAGGCCTGCCCATGCTGAGGTGAGGGAGCCAGGAGGAGGGTGCTGAGGAAAGGAGGCCCCCTCTGGGTACCTGAATGAAGCGCTTGAGCTGTGTGTTCTGCTGCAGGAGCCTGGTCTTCTCCTGCTCCAGGGAGAAGATGTACTCTGCTGTCTGCTGGAGAATAGCTGCCTGAAGGCAAGAGGGAACAAAGTCACTGTGGTATTTGCCCAAGCCCACTTCCCTTCCCAACCACAGCCTGCCACCGACTCCAGGAAGCCCTCCCTGCTCACCTTGCTGAGCTTCTCTCCATCTGTGTGGGGGATGAGGGTCTTCAGGGACTGGAAGCCTGCGTTGATGCTCTGCATGCGCCTCCGCTCGTTGCTGTTGGCAATCTCTCGTCGAATTCGCCGCTCCTGGTCCCGCTGGGTCTCGGGGGTCAGTGGAATGTTGGCAAGGCTGCCAGGAAGGACAGGGACAGGTTCAGGCTAGGTGCAGTATGAACCCCACCCCCAGTGGACCTATCTTCAAATTCATTTCCTGAGGGCCCTGGATGTAACCTGCATCTCTGCCCTGCTGCAAAAAGAGGCCAGATCACACAGATGCCTACCCACCAGCAGATCACCTAAGATGACAGAGAGGTGCTCCCTGGACAGCTGGCTTCAGGCAAGGACAGCCTGCTCCAAACCTAACCCTTCCCTGGCTTTCTTCCTGGAAAGAGGTGTCCTCCAGATCAGAGGCTCCCAGACACGTCTGGGTATCAGAAACACCCAGGAATCTGGGTGAGGTAGCACACACCTGTAATCCCAGCTATTCCAGAGGCTGAGGCAAGAAGATCACAAGTTTGAGGCCAGCCAAGGCAACTTAGCCAGATGCTGTCTCAAAATCAAATTTAAAAAAAGGGCTACGTAGGGATGTAGCTCAATGGTAGAGTGCTCGCCAAGCCCTGTGCTCGAGCAGCAGCACACACACACACACACACACACACACACACTACTACACAGGAGTTTATATACTACAGACCCCAGATGCCAGCTCCAGTATCTAGCTAGGTCTGGGTGAGGCCCTGTAGCCTCCATGGCTGTTCCCTGTGATTGTGAGCAGGTGGACCCCAGGCCACAATCAGAGACACTCCTAGGACATGTCTGAGCTCCAGGCGGTGCATCTGGACCATCTCCTTCAGACTCGGCCTTTGCCACCCCAGGACTGAGAAAATGTTCCTCCTCCTCCCTTCCTACCCCTACAGCCGTGTCTCCAGCTACACTCCCCTAGCACCCCAGTCCAGCCCCAGCCCCACAGACTAAGACTTCACAAAAGATAAGATGGGTACCACTCATTCCACAGAGGGGACACCAAGCCAACAATCCCTAGGACAGTTCTCCGCAGAGCCCACCTACACCAAAAGGCAGGCCCACTCTGTGCCAGAGAAGTGAGATTCCCGGCAGGCTGTGGGCGACGTTACTGCCTGGTGCAGGAGTAGTAGCCAGTGGGGTGAGAGAGAAGGCAGCCAGGAAGGGGGCGAGGCTGAGGGCACTGGAGGAGGCAAGGCAGCAGGGGAGCCTGTGGGCCTGCGCCACTGCTCCCGAGGGGTGGGCCTGTGTGTGGCCTGGAGGAGGCATGCCCCACTTCCCGGCCCTCCCCTGCAACTCCCCCACCCCGCCCCGGCCTGATGGCTTCCAGATGCTGGGCTCCTAGCAGAGGCCGCCAGCCCCACCCAAAGCCACAGCCTGGCCTCTTCCTGAGGGGCCCTCCCAGGGTGACCTGTTTCAGGTCTTAGCCAAGGAAGCTTGTGCTCCTGGGACGGGGGAATAGGGAAAGGTCTCTGTGCAGCACTCATCAAGGTCAAGGAGGAGCCTGGTCTAACTCCTTTGCTGTGACTTGGCCTTTGTCCTTATCCCCAAAAGAAAAGGAGCTACACAGCAGCCCAGGGGAGAACACAGAGGAACAGACGGAAACAGTCAAGGCCTGTTCTGCCCCACCCAACCTGCCCCTTTTGTCCCACCTCAGCTCCCTGAGGGCCTCTGGACACATCCCTTCCCTTCCTAGGCCTCAGCTTCCTCTCCCAACAGAGGGTGGCCAGCTAGGAGTTAGCTCCCCATCAGCTGCTGCTGGGTCTGGGGGCAAATCAGCCCCTTCCTGCTTCTCCAAGCCAAGGCCCCAGACATCAATGCCCAAAGGCCAGGGCTGAGACCCACCCAGAGCCCCAGGGTGCAGACCCTTCACAGGGCCTGGGAATGTCTGCACTAGGAAGGGAACCACATCCCTCCCTTTATAGATGACGTTCCCCTTCACTAAGGGTCTAGAGTCTGGAAAGCCACAGTTCTAGATCAGACAGCTGAACATCCATCTCCCTGTCTTCAGGCCAGGGTGCCTCCCTTTTTCTCAATTTTCTGCCCCATAATGGGAGTGACAGGGTGTCTGCAAAAAGAAAAAGAGCAGGGCAGAAGCTGAGGCTCAACTGCCCTCAGAGCCTGGCCCCTGGAGGGCTTAGAATAGAGGAATGAGTAAAATACGTTCTGTATTCTTCATGTAATGTGCTGGACACACTTTGCTAGCATTTCTTCATTGAATTGTCACAGTTTTCCTGAGTCAGGTGGCCTGATGGTTCCCATATAAAGAGGAAGACACAGAGTCTTGGAAAGGGACGTTACTGCAAGTGGTGGAGCTGGGACCCCAAGCAGGTATGGAGCCATGGGGCAGAACAGGCTCTGCATTATCCCCACTGACCAACAGGGAGCAGTCATCCATGCAGAGGGCTACGCGCTGGATATGCCCACGATCAAACAGCCAGACCAAGGCACAGCAGGCTCCTGCAGACACCCCACCAGCTGCTGGTGCCCTCTATGGACTGTTCACACCCAGCCCAGGGCAGCTCAGCAAAAGGGGTGTAGCTGCAAGAACAGTGCATGTCTTCCTGCCCTCCCCCAATGAGGGGCCAGGCCCACAAGAAGTGACTTGCCCAAGGTGGCACCTGGCAGAGGATGAAGCAGGGTGCAGTGGAATGTATGTTCCTGCAACTCCCTGCCCAAGTCCCACCATGAAACTCAGCCAAGGGAGCTGACCCTCAGCCTCTCTATACCACCCCCACAGGATGCCTCCTAACTGGGGAGCTCAAAGGAACCCATAGAGCCCTGGTCCTGAAAGGCCCAACCCCAAAATTCCAGAAGGAAGAGACCGTGAGAGCCGTGGCCCAGGTCAGCCCCTCCTCTGCACCAGAAGCTGCCAGCCCAGCTCCTCCAAATGTCCCATTCTGCCCACTCCCTCCAAACCCATCAGTCCAGCCCCCTGACTTGGGTACCAGCTGCTTAACTCCAAGAAAAGAGACTTCCCCTCAGCTACGGCTCTTCATGTAGACCTGAATTTGCCACCAAGACTCTCAATTATAACTCACCTGAACAGCACCACAAGTACCAGCTTAGAACTGTTTAATGGACTACTTGCTAACCAGAAGTTCTGATTCGTGCGGTGTTATCTAACCAGGAATGCTGACTGGTGGAATGCTGACCAATCAGGGCTTCTAAAGGCTGACCAACCCAAGGTTCCTACTGATGGAAGATGCTTAACTGTCATTTCCAGGAGATATGTACTGCATAAAGTGGATCTTCCTAAAACTTCCTGAAAGTTCCTTACAGCTTTTTCTGTGTGTTACAGAAGTAAGCTCCATTTACAGTAACCAACCATATGGTAAAAGTCCCACTACGGGGTAGGGTTGAGGCTCAGGGGCAGAGCGCTTGCCCAGCATGTGTGAAGCACTGGGTTTGATCCTCAGCACCCACATATAAATAAATAAATAATAAAAGTACATCAACAGCTAAAAAATATATTTTAAAAAAAAAGTCCCACTACCTTCCCCAACTTCTACTCCTCCAGGTGGGCAGAGAGGCCACTGGCAGCAGGTAGCTCTGGCTTCTTCTCCCCTCACCTCACTGTCCTCTGACAGCCAGTCTGCTAGGGCTGACCAGGGCCTGCTTAGCTTCAGGAATAAGGCAGGACACTGGGCAGCCAAAGAGTCAAGGTGTAAAATTTGGGCACCAGGCTTGGGTGTCAAGGGCAGGGCTGCTATCCCTCCTACAACAGTATCCTTAGAAATCTGGGAAGACGGGCAGCAACCCAACCAGATGTTCAGGGACAATGGTATACTCCGCACACCTAGATCCCTGACCAGTACGTGCTCCTCCTGCCCAGTCTAAGACCAAGTATCTCCTATCCCCTCAACCTGACTGCCCAGTTCCTACCTCCAACTGGTCACTGAGAACTTCATTTCACAATCCCCTCAACTCATACATCCCAGAGTCACACAAAGGTGAGGAAGTCCACACAAAAAACAGGAAGAGGGGAGAACCTGCCCACCAAGGATGCCCAAGGCACTCTTACTTCTCTGTCTGCACAGGTCCCACTGCCTCTAGCCATACACCCCTCTCCAACCTACCACAGAGAGTCCGCCACCCTCCTGGGTTCCAGAACACAGGATGTCCAAGCTGCTCCAGGCAGACATTCTGCCCCCACCTCACCTCCCTCCAGCTCCTCCAGCCCATCAGAGGGAACCCTGCATTGGGTTCAAGTGTCAACTCAGCCTAGCCACCTACTGGCTGTGGAACCACAAGCTGTGCCACTGTGTCTCTCATACAGCCTCTGTCTACCCCACCTGTAAAACGTGGAAATACTGCCTCATTTCACAGGGTCAAGGTAAAAATGTAAACGAGAGAGAGCTGGGCATGGTGGCACACGCCTGGAATCCCAGCAACTGGCAAGGCTGGGGCAGGAGGATCGCCAAGTTCAAAGCCAGCCTCAGCAACTCAGAGAGGCCCTCAGCAACTTAGCGAGACCCTGTCTCAAAAAATAAAAAGGGCGAGGGATGTGGCTCAGTGGTTAGGCACCCAATCCCCAGTACCGGAAAAAAAAAAAAAAAGAAGATAGAGAGAAGTATGGTGGCAGACGCCTGTAATCCCAGCAACTCAGGAGGCTGAGGCAGAAGAATTGCAGGTAACTTAGCAAGATGTTTCTCAAGAGATCAGGGTGCTGATCAGTGGTAGACCCCTGGGTTCAATCCCCAGAATGAATGAATAAATAAATAAATGAGAGAGAATATAATAGGAGGATAACAGGATTCCCTGTTTCCCAGGGTTTGCACCCAGGTGTCCAGAATATCCCGTGGCTCTCTCAGGGGCCGAAAGGACCCTTTAGCACCAGTGGTCAGGTCTTATTCATGGCTGTATCCTCAGTTCCAGCATCTAGCTGGGATTTCTAAATATAGGATCAGGGACTCCATAATCCAAAGCCTTTAATTTTCTCTAACTCCCTGCCCCTCCTCTTTTTTTTTTTTTAATTAGGAGTATTTACTTTGTTTATTTATTTATTTTTATGTGGTGCTGAGGATTGAAGCCAGTGCCTCACACATGCTATCAAGTGCTCTGCCACCAAGCCACAACCCCAGCCTTCTAACTCCCTTTTTACCAGCACTTTTTTAAAGAGCTTACAAAGATAAGGCCACCTGCTCTTCAGAGTCTGAATGACACTGTAACAGCTTCCAGACACTTTCTCAGAGGTGTTGCCTTTTTCCAAGTCTAAGGACCATTAGACAACAGGTCCAAAACCTCCAGGCAGCACTGTACCCTACAACCCTCTCTCTCCCCGTTTGGCCTGGGAGACAGAGGAGAGGGGCAGGGAAGGCTCAGCTAGACAGAGATGAAGTGAAGTCCTCCAGCCTGAGACAACCCAGAGAAGCAAATTCACCCAGCCAGAAGGTCAGTATTCCCATGTCACCCTGTGGCCCCAGGTGAAAATGAACAAACCTTAGAGGCCTTGACTCTTGGCCCAGTGCACAGCTGGTAACTGCCTAGAAGAGGGTCAGGCTGAGGACTTGTGCACCAGGAGGCAGGCCCTGCTACCTCAAGCACTGGGTCTGCCAAGGCTCATACCTCCTGGTGGTCTGCAGGCCTCCCTCAAAGGGGGACTTGGGACAGAGATGGAGTGAAGCCAGAGTCTTAACAGGCCCCAGAAGTCTCAACCAAAGCCCAAGCATGGCAGTCAGAGGGTCTCACTGCCCAAGACTGCACAGGTCGGAGGCCGAAGGAGTCCTCTCAATAGTTTGGAATTCAATCCCACCTCCAGTGCTCAGCCCAGCTACCAATAGCAAGTGGAAGGGCAGGCCTCTGGGATCGGTGTTGCAGACCCACCTCCACCACTTGGTCTAGCCAGCCTCAGTGTCCTCATCTTTACAAAGGAATCAGAAGACAAGGAGTCTCAGAGGAAGACTGACAACTCAATGAGAAAACCCTAGCAAAGCGACTTATTACTGCTGGACCTTTTCTAAGGCCACCCTTCAAGGTGGCCCTGCCAGCTACCAGACCCATTAACTGGTATTGACTGTGAACTTGAGAAAGATGGGAGGCCTGAGGCGGGGCGTGTGCCTGTGCAGTGGAGTCCACCGGCCAGGGATACACCATGTGGGCTCCTCCTCCCTAACACCCGGCCCCGCCTGCCCGAGCGGCAGAGCACGTGGCTCCAGCTTTGGGGAGCCATTTCGCTTCTGGAGCAGCATGGCAAGAAAAAGACTGCAGGTCCCAAACTTGTGCGCACTGGAGAAACTCCCTATCTCTGCACGCACCCCTGGCTGGCCACTCCTGGCTGGCCACTCGGGGTCGACAATAAGCAGATGCCCGGGCCCTGCCATCAGAATTACAGGCTTGTGCATTCTAACGTATCCAGGGTGATTCCACTACTAGTGGCCAGCGAATCCTTCACCCTTGGTAAAGGATAGATCTGGGGCAACCCAGAGCCAAGCTTGCAAAGCGACTTCTATGGAAGGCTGAGGACCCTGGGCCATCCACTCGGCTGTAACCAGACGAGCGATTTTGGTTTACCGCTGAGGGAAGGATCCGGGGATGGGAAAGTTCACGTGCGGAGAGGGGCGGCCTTGCGCAGCCAAGGCCACCCTCGGGTGCCGCGCACCTAAAAGGCCTCCCCACCTGGCCTGCCTTGCCCCCAACTGTAAGCAGAGGCTGAGCTTTGTGAGGGGAAAGCGTGGCCTGAGAGTGCCTACAAGTCCCACAATGCCGCAACAGCCGCGCGCGGAGAACTACAGCTCCCGCGAGGCCACGCGCGCACAGGCCCGCCTACTCCAAGAGGGCTGCAGAGTCACGTCCAGGCCTCGCTAGTAAACAGCGCCCGGGCGCGGGCGGGCAAGCGAGCGACCCAGCAGTAACCAAAATGTCCAGGGCCGCGGCGCTCCTGCCCGCCGCGCTGCCCCTCTGGGTCCGCCCATCCCCGCAGCTCCACACAAGCATGCCCCCGACCCCGAAGCAACTCCGCTCTCTGCAAACACGCACACCACCCGGCTCCCCGCCCCCCCCCCGCGTCCGGATCCGCGGCATGGCTGCATTGTAGCTGCCCTCGCCGGGGCTCCACGCGCGCCTGGGACCCCTCCAGTTCCCTTGGAGGGGGGCTCTGAGAGCACAAGGAAGCAGGGAAAGGAAGGAAGCAGCCGCGAGAAGGGGGGAGGAAGCAAGGGGGTAAAGACACCAGCACCAAGCATGGCCGGGACTGCTGCAGAACCACGTGGGTCTGTTTGCAATTTACAAACGTCGCGACTCGCCCGCCTGCAGCGGACAAAAGTGGCTGGGGCCGCTCGGGGTCCCCACGTTCTGAGAAAGGAAGGTCCCCAGGCGGCTCAAGCACGGGGCACTGGGCTGCAGCCACCCCGGTGGCTAAGAAAAGAGAGCAGGGTCGGCAGCGCGGGCCATGCGTGCGCACACGCGCGCCCGCTCGGGCGGGCTGGCCAGGGGCTGCAATGGTAGGAAGGGGTGGGGGTAGGAGGAGTACACACCTACAGAGTCCTCCTATCACTTCTTTCTCTGTTTTCCTGAAATGTTGCAAAGAGGGCACCTTCTGAGTGGGCACCATGAAATACTCCATAGCGATCGGCCCCCCTCCTCTGCACGAGCTGGGTCCCGCGGTCCGCCGGAGAATGCAAGATGGAAATCCGAATCAAAGGGCAGCGCCGGACGGAGGTGCAGAATCGGCCGGTCCCAGATGCTGGCGGCGGCGGCGGCAGCGAGGGGAGGGAGGCGGGCGGGAGGGGCGGGAGGGAGGTCTCTCCGGCCTGCCTCCCCGGGCGTGTGTATGTGTGTGTGTGTTTGCAGCTGATCAGATGTCTGTTTCAAGGCGGGAAACAGCTGGTGAAAACTCAGCACTCCCCCGGCCTCCTTCCGCGGAGTAAGGAATTGCATGTAAACAAAGGACTATTTGCAGAGTCCCCCGGGCGGCGCAAGGCCGAGGCGAGAGGGGCATGGGCCCCGGGGGGCCGCCTGCAACCAGTGTCTGCAGACCTCCCAGACGGTGCAGGGGGCCCAGGGCTGCGGACCCGCTGGAGAAACGCGGCGTGAATTGAGCGAGCTGCGGCCCAGCTACATGCGCCACTATGGGTGATGAGGTCCATCAGCTGACAGGTTGGCAAGCATTGCAAAAAAAAAAAAAAAAAAGGCCATCCTCTGTGAGGGAGCCCAGTCTTTGCCGCTCGGGGTCCGCTGGGGACTGCCCAATGCAGGGTCTACTACGCTCACCAGGCCCCTGGGTCGGGATGGGGGACGTGAATGGGTTCCGCTTGCAGCAGCAGTGGGAAGGCGGCCTGGGATGCGTGCTTGGGCTTTCGCTTTTTCACGATTGCAACTACACGGAGTGGAGCCACTCTGGCGCGCTCCCTCCGAGCCGACCCAGGGCCCCCTGGAAACTTGCGTCACAGCCACCTCTTCCCACTTGTAACTTGGGGCTGACTCAGGAGGCCGACGAGCCTCCCCCCTCCGTCCCTGCCCTGCTGGCTGCCCGGACAGCTCCAGAGCCTAGGAATCCCGGAGTCAGGGAGGGGACCGCGAAGGCAGCGAGCTGGGCACCTGGGATGCTGCAGCTGCCCTGGGAAGCCTGGGGGCCAGGGAGCGGGGGCAGAACGGCGGCGGCGCCTTGGGACAGGCAGCCAGCGCAGCCCGGAGGTCTGATCATTGCTGCCGGGTCTCCCCCCACATTCCTCCTCTGCGGGCGGGGAACACTGCAGTTTCACACAACATAATGAAGCATGGACGGAACTTGCTCCTCCGCTAGGGTGCGCTCTGTACAAGGGGGTAATGGCATAGTGCCTTGAGGGGGACACTGTAGCGGCCAGTTTCCGTCCTCCGCCCCCACCCCCCACCTTCCGGCCACAGTCCCTCCCCTGGTTCAGGAAGCCCACGCCTGCCTTGGAATGTCCTCACCCCTGCCCACCGCCTTTCCCAATCCCATCCGCCTTCCAGGTTCCGCCCAAATCTCGCTTCCTAATTGAAATGCTCCTACTAATAACAATTGTAACAGTTATTATTAGGAAACATTATTGTTATTACGTATTGACAACGCTGTGTAGATGCCGCCAGTTTTGCATACATATTCTCCAGTACTCAAAACAACCTGTTAAGGCAGTTTCTCTGGATACTGATTCCAAAATCCCTAAGAGGCTTAATTGACAATGTAACAGTCCTTCCCCCGCCACCCCCGCCATACCGAGGATTGAACCCAGGAGCTTAACCACTGAACCACATCCCCAGCCCTTTATTTTTTATTTATTTTTTAAATAAGTTCTCACTAAGTTGCTGAGGCTGGCTTTGAACTCACAATCCTCTTGCCCCAGCCTCCCAAACCGCTGAGATTACAGGCTGCCAGTAAATGTAGCATCCTTGAGCTCTATCTACCTCAAGGGTATTGAATTGGCTGGGTGTTGCTGGGGAAGTTCATCTTTTACTCCCCTTGGACCAGGATATTCTGAGGCATCACTGACTCTTTACCATACCATTTTGCAGGTAAGAAGACTAATACTCACTAGAACCTCCTAAGCCCATGCCTTTTATACCCCACCACCCTTCCAACACTGTGATTGAGGTCTTGTTTTGTACTGAGATTTGCTTATGTGCAGGGGTGCTCCCTCCTGTCATGTTAAATGTAGCTTTAAAGTCATCTCTAGATGTCTACCTAGTCCAGTTTTGTCTCCCAGAGAACAGGGACTGTACTTTGGCCTTTTCTACCCAAAGAGGTAGCATTCCAGGGCCTGAAGGTACAGAGGAAACATGGGACTACTTTTTTGTTTCTCTTGGGAGTCGTTTCGGAGACCACACAGACACCTTGGAGTGCAATGAAATAGCAACACTTGGGAATCACAAAAAAAAAAAAAAATCTGACATTCAAAAATAATCATGTCTTCATAACTTTATTTGGAGTGGGGATACTAGGGATTGAACTCAGAGGCACTCAACCACTAAGCCACATCCCCAGCCCTTTTCTGTATTTTATTTTGAGACAGGGTCTCACTGAATTGCTTAGCTCCTTGCTTCTGCTGAGGCTGGCTTAGAACTCTTGATCCTGCGTCAGGCTCCTGAGCCACTGGCTAGCACCACCACACAGCACTTTTTTCTTTTTTTTTTTCAAAATCACCAGGTAGGTGTTGTACATCCGTAATCCCAGAGACAGGCGGCTAAGGCTGGAGGATTGCAAGGTCAAAGCCAGCCTCAGCAATTTAGTGAGGCCCTAAGCAAAGGAACAAAAAAAGGCTGGAGACGTGGCTCAGTGGTTAAGCACTCCTGGATTCAATCACCAGTACCAAAATATTAATTAAAATTTAAAAATCAGGCTGGGGATGTGGCTCAAGCGGTAGCGCCCTCGCCTGGCATGCGTGCGGCCCGGGTTCGATCCTCAGCACCACATACCAACAAAGATGTTGTGTCCGCCAAGAACTAAAAAATAAATATAAAAAAAAATTTTTAAATCACTGCCCAAAATTTATGATGGGCAAAATGCTCACATCTTTTTTTTTTTTAATATTTTTAGTTGTTGATGGATCTTTATTTTATTTATTGGTATGTGGTGCTGAGAATCGAACCCAGTGCCTCACGCATGCTAGGCAAGCACTTTACCATGAGCCACAACCTCAACCCCTGGAATATAGCCATTCTTAAAATTATGATAGTTTGAGCTGGGCATAGTGGCACACATCTGTAATTCCAGGAGGCTGAGGCAGGAGGATCTCAAGTTCAATTCCAGCCCCAGCAAAAAAAAGCGAGGCACTAAGCAACTCAGTGAGACCCTTTCTCAAAATAAAATACATAATAGGGTTGGGGATGTGGCTCAGTGGCCGAGTGCCTCTGAGTTCAATCCCTAGCATCCCCCCAAAAATTATGATAGTTTGGGTTGGGGATATAGCTCAATGGTAGAGCACTTGCCTAACATGCATTAAGTCCTGGGTCTGATCCCCAGCACCACCAAAAAAAAAAAAAAAAAAAGATATTTTGTTTATTGAATTTTTTCTTTTGCTTTAATTTTGATTCTTGCTGGGCACAGTGGTACATACCTAGGATCCCAGTGGCTCAGGTATCTGAGGCAAGAGGATTGCAAGTTCAAAGCCAGCGGCAACAACTTAGGAAGGCCCTAAGCAATTCAGTGAGACTCTGTCCTATAAATAAAATACGAAAAAGGGCTGGGTATGTGGTTCAGTGGTTAAGTGCTCCTGGATTCAATCCCTGGTACCAAATATAAATATTAAAAAAATTAAAATAAATAAAAATAAATTTTTTTAATTGATTGCATTAAAAATTGTTTCTCTTGCCAAGCACAGTGGTGCATGCCTATAATCACAGCAGCTCAGGAGGCTGAGGCAGAAAGATCAGAATTTCAAAGCCAAACTCAGCAACTTAGCGGAGGCCTTCAGCAACTTAGTGAGACCCTCAAAAAATAAAAAGAGCTGGGGGTGTGGCTGAGTGGTTCTGCACCCCAGGATTCAATCCCTGGTACAAAAAAAAAATTTTTTGTTTCCTTGATTACTGAGTTTTTGGTGCCTGCTATGTTTTGTCCTTCAACCGAGTGTCCCACTGGTCTCCCGTGAGTCCTGCTGTATGACAGTCCCCTCTTTTGCTGAGTGAAGTGGTTCACAATGACCAAGGCAAGAGGCAGCAAGGTCAGGGCTACCACCAAATTCTCTACATCCCCTCTGGGTCTGGACATGGATATCATTTTTACAGCTCTGCAGAGGAAGGTGGGAAACCTTTGCCCAACCTTGGAGAATTCCTGTTCTTGCTGCTTCTCCCTGCCTTAACAGGTGACAAACCCTGCAAGACAGAGGTCAAAGCAGACAAACTGTACTCAAAGAGCTCACAGCCTTCTTGTGGTGACAGGGAATGTGCTTAGGAAATGACCACACTTGGGGACACATACAATACTGGGCCACATAACTATACACTGAGCAATTTCTCCAGTGCCTGGAATGAATGACAGCTGGAAGAAGCACACATATCCCTATTCTTTTGACTAAGCCTAGTTCCCAGAGGGCACACTGGGAATGGCTTCACCATTTCTTTTTTTTTTTTTTTTTTTGGAGGGGGGGGCAGGGTAGGTACTGGAGATTGAACTCAGGGGCCCTTGACCACTGAGCCACATCCCCAGCCTTATTTTTTAAATTTTTTTGTATTTTATTTTATTAGTTTACTTTTAGGTGGTACTGAGGATTGAACCCAGTGCCTCATGCATGCTTAGCAAGCGCCCTGCAACTGAGCTACAGCCCCAGCTCCCCAACCCTATTTCTATTTTATTTAGTCTCACTGAGTTGCTTATGGTCTTGCTAAATTGCTAAGGCTGGCTTTGAACTCATGATCCTCCTACCTCAGCCTCACAAGCTGCTGGGATTACAGGCGTGCACCACCAAGCTCAGTGGCTTCACCATTTCTGCTAAGGCCCTTTCTTTCATTGGTGTCCCCAGCCCAGTGCCCTCCCATGCCTCAGAAGTACAAATCCAAACACTCCTTATCTGGTGCAGCCCAGTCCTATCCCCAAACTGAAATACCATCACTGGACACCACTCCTCCTCCCTAACCCCCTTCCATCACTTGTCCCTTTTCCAGCAGTAACATAAGGAGTCCCCAGATTCTGCTCCTTTTTCTTTTTTTTTTTTAAGAGAGAGTGTGAGAGAGAGAATTTTTCAATATTTATTTTCTAGTTCTCTGCGGACACAACATCTTCGTTTGTTTGTGGTGCTGAGGATCGAACCCGGGCCGCACTCACGCCAGGCGAGCGCGCTACCGATGGAGCCACATCCCCAGCCCCCAGATTCTGCTTCTTTGAGGATCTGTGCATCCCTCAGTCAAAACCTCTTCCCAAGTCCTAAAATAATTGCCTGGGCCACTGTGAGTAGTCAAAAGTACTCAGGAGGCTAAGGTCAGCCTGGGAAACAGCAAGATCTTGTCTCCACAAAGGTGAGGTAGGGCTGAGGGTGTGACTCAGGGCAGAAAGCTGGTATAGCACAAGACGAGACCCTGGTTTTGATCACCAGAAACAAACGCAAAAAGTGCCAAATTTATAAATCCAGGTATTAGCAGGGCTGCATTCCTCCAGAAAGTTCTAGGAGGTGTTTTCCTGCCTTTTCCCACCATCCTCCATCTTTAAGGTACACCCTTTCAACCTCTGCTTCTGTCCTCATATCCCTAAGTCTCACCTTCTTGCCTCCTACTTGTGATGACCTTGAACCCACCCAGATACCCAGAATAACCTCCTGATGGCAAAGCCCTTGGTGGCATCTTCACCTTTGCCATGCGAAATGACGTTCCCATATATCTTGAAGGTTAGGGTGAACATCTGAGGGGGACTTATTCTATCTGCCACATCATTCTTTTTCTTTTTTTTTTTTTT